CTGCTGTGCTCTTAGCTCTTTGTAAGACATTTTGGTCTAAGCCACATTACCTGTAACATTCAATCTCCTTTCCCAGAGAGATGCAGCTTTTTTTTGAGGAGTTTCACAGTAGTTTCCAAGTAATCAGCAGCACAGACTGCAGATCTGGTTCTTCCTGCTGGGTCCTTTAAGTGTTTCAGGAAATCCATTGGGTTGGCAATCTTTTCCTGTAGTTTTCTCTTTAAGCTGAACATAAAAGAGGCCGATGAAATGCCTTCTCTGAAACCAGACCTCCTCTGCCATGCTGGGCTGTCACCTAGATGTGACAGCAGGCTCCTCTCACCTAGGACAAGCTGGCTGCTGATCAGCTCTGCACATCATTTCAGACTGAATTTGGCAAACAAATCATTGTGATCCCCTGCTTTGAATTTGCATTACGTCCTTGTCACAATAAATTTTGTTATCTCATGTTGAAAGCTAGATCAGTGGAAAGCTGAGTTATTCAGTGATCAAACTTTACATTTAATATGTCACAAGATAGATTCTGTGAACAGAGAGATAACCTTGGTCCTGTTGCATCTCTTCCCAGTCCCATGGCTCTTTCTTGCACAACGAAAAACCTTCTGTAGGGTCGGTGGAGAAAGACTCCTCCCCAAAGCATCCTGCTGAGACAGGACAAAATTGGGCAAAATCGAGCCAAACTGGGCAAAAGCAGCTCTCCCCTGACAGGGAGAGCCCTTGAACAGAAGTGTCTCTGTGATAAATGTGCTTTGGAAAACAGAAGAAACACAAGTATATTTTCTCATATTTCCTTATACTGTTGAGGTCCTCATGCAAGAAGGACTCACCTTTTTTTGGCACGTAAATATGCTATGTCTACCAGTTGCCTGGCTTCACTAATGTTGCTCAGCAGGGATGAGTCTGATAGCACCTCTGAGTCCTCTATTGAAAAAAAAGGGAAAAAAAAGCAGAAATGGAGGTTACTTCGTAATCTACACCAGGAGCTACACATCCCACACAATTTGCTTTACGTGTGGTTCCCACCATGTGTTTAGTGCTACCTGGACACCTTTATTTGTGCTTCTCTTGCTCATCTCATTCCCCCTATTGCAGAGCTCCTGAAAGTCGCAGGGCAAGAAGTGACTGTAAAGCAGTATTTTATCATCCATTTAATGGATGGCAGGCTCTCGGGTAGTTATTTTCCACCCTTCTTTTTGAAGGAATGCACCAATACACACACCAGAAATAGCAAAGCAGGCAAATACAGATATAAAATTAAAAAGCACTGTTCTTACCTGCCATCTCTGCAGAGCTGTCAGGACTGGGAAGCACACCAGTCCTTTCTAGCATCTGCACCAGGGCAGAAATCAGCTGGGTCTGACCTGGGCATGGCCAAAAATGGAGAAACTGGGACCAGATTGAGCCAAGAGGAAATATCTGCTGGTTTGCTTTCCTGGATTAAGCAGAAAGGTGCAGACTTCTTCACTGCTTCTGAGTTAATGTTGACTTCCTTTTTGACAAACCAGTAAAAAAGGAAAGAGTAAAGGCACATGTTTACTTTCTGTGAGAGAAAGAGATCAGTTTAACTTTATGATGGTAAAGGATGATGGTGGAATTTGGCTTCTTTTTTCCCTGTTAGCTGACATCTCTGCTGGTTTGGGCATTAAAAAAAATGGGTTGCTTTGCCAACATGCATTTGTGGAGTACACCAACATCCAAATACAGCATGTCTGAATGGTGGACCTGCCAAAATTTGTATCCAGGAAAACCAAAGGTGACTCCTATTTAAAACTGCTTAGTGAGATAAGTTGTATAAACAGTGGTCAGATCATCAGTGATTTGGAAATGCCTATGAAATAAATGCTGATCATTGTGGATGACAAAGTCTGGACAAAGTACGAGGAAGTTGTACAAGGCAAGCTCAAGCTGTCTCCAGTGAAGTCATATGCACAGTCATACAGACAGTCACAAAGTTGTATCTGTGCAAATAAGAACAAGACAGAGGCACAAACTGGGAGATGCCATCCCAAAACGTCTAGAAAGAAACAAAGTGCTGGGCCATCTGAGCACCTCAACATGGATTATGTACAGTAGGAAAAAGGGCTGTACTGCAGTAGGCAAACAGGAAGGTAGCAGAAATAATTTAAGTATTTAAACATGAGTCAGGCTGATCACAAAAGACAATGCTGAATTCTTACTGACAATCAGCCACATAAATCTCAAAAGATTAGGTAGCCAGTTCTTCTAACTGTTCAAATATTTTCACAGTTCTTATTAAGCCAAAGTAAATAAAAAGAAAATATGAGAAAGGAAATTGCTAACAAATATGTATAGTTTTAAATATGAAAAAAAAGAAAATTCTGATGCTGGGTTTTCAGAAACTGAAAATACAATGTCAGCATTTCTCCCCTGAAGAGAAATTCCAAACCAAAAGCAGTAGCACTCCCCCGGTATCAGAGGGACTCTGGGCACCCTGGCAGGTGCTCTGCCTTGTCCATCCAGCCTTCTGCCCACAAAATGTACATAAGCAGAAGGCCAGGCACCTGCAGGGTGGTTTTCCTATTTCTTTTGTATTTTTGACATGTATCATTTCAATTGCTTATGCCTCCGTGATGGTCTGGGAGGCCCTGGTTGGCCTTGGTATGGGGACACTGTCTGCCTTCGAGGGTGTGTGCCACCATTGCAGGTGGCCCAATGTCTGCTCCCATGTCACCTCCCATGCAGACGTTGCATTGACATTACGTGTGTCCTGACAATTCCTCCAACTAGGATTTATGGTGTTTTGGTGCAAGGGTATCCTGCCCACCAAGGATGATGTTCATTCAGCAAAGTGTACAAGACATCTGGGCAGCCAAGGCATAGATTATCCATTAATTAGCTGACCAAGCAGAATATTATTCCATCAAATCTCCTCTCTGTCTTGTTTAGAAGCTGTATATTTCTTCCTGTTCAGGCTCTTTTCTTCCCATCAGGTATTACTGATATTACTTCTCGGTATTACTACTCAGGCTGCAGATCTTCACCTGTAAATCCTAGTGTACGTCTAGGAACCTGTAGCTATGCAACTGCTGATGGTGTTTGCTAAATATGTGATTAATCATTAGATGCAGCAACAAGATCAACTTAAGCAACACAAAAAAGAAAGAGCTCATTATTACATTACTCGTTTCCCATCCTAACGGCAGAGAGCGACACCCTCCCCTTCTCTGTTCAATGTACATCCGATTTTCCTGCAAGCTCTTTCAGCACCCATTTTCATGACACCGATATATTTATGCTAGTAAACCCATGAACCATGATGTCTCAAGTTTAAGTGTCATTAAGGACTTAATTTAGGTACAATTTTCAACATAAAAAGCTTCTTCCTCACCTGCCCATGGCATTTCTTTTGCCTATATTTCAAACTGTGGATTTATTTACATACTACTGAGAGTCAATAGCCCATACAAACCAAGCCTGTCCTTGTCTAGGGCACAGTGGCGTGGAAGAATCACTGCAGATTTAGAAAACTGTGTCCAGTGCATCTTCTGCTCCAACAGATGCAGGGCAGAACTTGCATATGGATGGAGCAAGCAAGATAAACCAGAAAAAAATAAGAAGTGGTAAGTTAGTAGCACAGAAATCATAGGTGAGTAGAGGAGGAAAAGTTCAGAAGACTTCAGGGGTGACTTTTAAATAAAAACAGTTTTTCCAGCTTTAAAAATATAAATACTTTAGCACTAAAAAGTGACTTTAACTCTTTATGGAGAAGGCTGTCTAGTTCTTTGTTCAAGGCCAAATACAGCAGAGGAGCTTCAGAAGATGGTGCCCAGGGGAAAGCTGGTGATGGGACTGCTCTGCACTGCTCATGCTCTGCACTACTATGGGACCACTCTTACGGAGTCTAGGGCATGTCCAGGGTTGTGATATATCAGGATCTGGGCTCACTTCTGGATATTGTCTGGGGAATAAGCAAGGGGCCAACCCCAGAGCAGCAATATGGGTTGAAAGAACGTGAATGAAAAACTGAGAGTCTGTGGACTAAGAGATCATTTCCTCTTTACTTCATCACACTACAGAGCTGTATCATCCCCACCCAGAACACCTTCCTTCTGCCCATGGTTCGACCAATCTACCCCATCAGACAGCAGCTCTGGAGAAGTGGAACTGGCACACCAAGAGGGTCTTGCTCTCCAGCCTGGGATGATAACTGGCAGGGTTTGCTGAGAAAATACCCTCATTACCCAGGTAATAATCTCACTCCTGGACACCATGTAGCTGGAGAAACCTCTGAAGTGAACACTTTAGTGGTGATGGCAAGACCTGTGGTGCCACCTTCTGAGGCATGGGGCCCTGGAGCACAGGTGCAGCTACTGCAGGATGGGTGCCAGCTCCATGGTGTCCAGGAGTGCGATTATTACCTCTCTTTGAAATTCTCCTTTAAAGGCTCATCACTCATCAACACCCAAGGCTATGAAGCCTTCTTAGTGCAGCCCTCCATCAGCCACGGACACCACTCCACAGCCACGATGAGGTACACTGGGCAAGCAAGCAGAAATAGGTGAGCCCAGCAGAAGGGGCAGTGTCACCAGTGAGTACAGACTGCTTCCTGCCTCCTTCCAGAGCAGACACCATGGGGTGATCATCCATGGCCTTCTCTGTCTGTGCTGTGAGCACCCTTGTCATCTGCAGTACTCTCAGCGGTGGTGGGGGCTGTGACAACTTGTCATGACTCACCAAGGTAGGGTGTTCAGACCTGGCTCTGCCCTGAGCAGCAGGCACTGTTCCCAGGGCAGGAAAGTCATGACTTTCTAGCACTGTGGTAGGCCCCACCACACCCACGAGGACAAGCTGCTGCACCTCCATGCATGGAAAGACCACAGCTTGCAAAGTCTCCTGTCCCGAGCACACCTCCTCCTTGTGAGCAACTCTACTTCCCCGGGGACTGGTCCCATCTTGTCCTTCCCAGGAACAAAGCTCCTTTTCTTCTTCGTGAATAAAATCTTCAGCTCCTTCTCATCAACCAAACTTCTTCCAACCACATCTTTTAGTAAAATCACCCTTCCATCCCTCCCACTTTTCTTTCAGACTGTGCCCCCATGCTCAGAGTGGAGGGTAGGAGATTATTTCCCTGGAGAGTGGGCTGGCAAAGGAGACCTCAGCTGCTGCTTATGCCAAGCAGGAGGACAGTTTCTCCATTTTTTCAGTTCATGTTATCCTACTGCTCTGGAACCAGTTTCCATCTTATCCAGGAATCTGGGACACAGCTGTACACCAAAGCAGTTGTCTGTCCCCTAGAAAGCCACTGGGAGAACACAGGGCTTCAAAAGCACCAGAGATTTATTTAAAAAGGAGAATGGAAGGAGCATTACTCACTATAGTTTTCATCATGCCATACTAGCTGGGAGATATGGGAGTAATCTGCTGAAGCGGGCTCTTCCCTGGACCACAGCTTCATTCCTAGAGAGGCTGAATACATGAGGAGATGTAAAAAATTAGCACAAATTTTGGTGTTTGGTTCAATGCTTAACCATGTGAAGGAACGTTTGCATGGACAGAGCTTGCAGGGGTTCATTAGTATTGACAATGCACAAGTAGTGGTGATGTCTTGAACACCACTTACCACTGTGTTACAACCAGTGAGGTGCTGGAGCACTGCTTTATGGTCAGGACAGAGTGTGTTACCATTGCATCAGGCAATGGGACACAGCGGTGGATGTGACACACCACTGCATGCTGGGTCCAGCACTCAAGCAAGTCAGCCGCTATTTTCTGAAACTTGGAACGTCAAAGGGTGAAAACTTACAAGTAGAAGCAGATTCTGGACATTTATCTGAAGAAGAAAAGGGTCCATCTCATGACAGGCCTTGTGGTTTTCTATATTGTGCAATACTGAAAAGCGCCGTTTATTACAAGAGAATAGCTGTCAATTCTCTGTTGAGCTCAGACTTTTTTTTGAACACATCCTCTTCTTTTCACCGGGCAAGATTGTTTTGTCTGTAAATATCACAAGAGTTGTAGATGAAGACAGGTGTTCATTGCCCATGACACAAAATTAGGTAAGGAAAAAAGCCAACAAAAAAACCCAGCACTGAGAACTATTGTGTGAATTCTGGCCAGTGCCACGAAAATCTGAGTCCAGCCAGGCTGCAAGAACCAGCTGGGGGACATGTTCTCCTCCAGACCCTTCTGTTTGGGATCCAGAGCTCTCCAAACCACCCTTCGCCCCCTCAACCCCTTCAGACCTCTCTTTTCAAGCTCTGGTCTCCTCCAAGCTCCTCTGTCAGGATACCACTGCTCTCCAGGTCCCTCTGCCCCCACTC